ATTGAAGAAAAAATGGTACGAGTGAATTGAAAAAGATTATAAATTTGATATTACCTAGAGTTCTCCCCTTGAATTTCAGATTGGAAAATTAATATTGGTTCTCAAAGAAGATTGCATCCATGGAGTTGCGTACTTTCTTAGTGGTTAAAAAGTAGGATTTGTACCTTTTTCTGATTGGAGGAATAATCTAGAAAGATCTATCTGAGAAATTTGGGATTAAGTTTAGTGCAATGCTATTTATGGATATGAACAAAGCTAGAACAATAAAAAATTTTCAATGACAAGTCAAAAGAAAGAGAGTAGATATGTTGATAGGATTTTATGAGAACATAACAATAAATTTAAAATTTTATGATTTGCTCGGCATCCTATTGATAAAATGTGGTTGTAAGAATGGTTTCTCCTAAAAAGTATTTTGGCACAGGATCAAAAAACAAAGTGGCATGGGAGACCCTAATAAGTGTTTATTCTTCCTCTCAATGAACCAATTTTATTGAGAAGTATCCACACAGAAATTTATATGAATAATATTAAGCTTGAAAAGATAAGGAATAAGGACAAAATTAAAATATTCGTTAACATAATCAATTTTGAAATTTTGAATTTTTCTTCGGAATTGAGTGAGGATCATGGAATGAAATGATTGAAATATGATAGTGGTTTTATATTTTTATCATAAGGAATGGGCATATTATTATTGAATGATTATCTATAAATGATACAAACTATCATGCCCTATTTATATTGTTTGTCTGTGAGGGTCTCCAAATATCACTGTGAATTACAGAAAAAGATGTGAATGTTTGTATTGCAGTTTAGAGTTTAGATGTTGGATATGTTTTGCAAGTTGATAAATTTCAGATTGATAAAGATTGGGTTTTTTAGTGATAAATAAATATGAAAACTTATTTTTCATGTATGTAAAATTTAGATGACTAAGATGATTATGACTCAACATGCCTTAACTTTCAACTGAAATTATATTGACAGAATTTGAACTAAACTCAGAAATACAACTTCATGGATGACTTTGTCTACCAATTAAGTAATTTTCTATGAGCAAGTAAAGACCATCATTTATCTCAACACTATCAATCACCTTCCCAAATCAACAACCTGAAAAATTGCAATAATTGGAATAAAATTTAGTCACACATTTTAGGTTAAGAGTAAGTTTGTTTAATGAAAGAATATTACAGTTTAATTTTGCAACACAATGGACAGAGTCGAGGCAAAGATTTTTTGGTAATTCGAATGATGCAGTTCTTACTACAGTTCAGAATGAATCATTGGCTATTTGAACAACAAAGTGACTAGTACATGGATTATAAACTTTTAAGGCTTTGATATCTCTCGTCATATGATCTAAGTCCTTAGAGTCAACTATCTAAGATTTTGATTTATTACATTGGATAAAAAAATATGTGATAAGATACCTTGATGAGCTAACCGGCTGATAGGTTACTCAACAGAAGATTGTAATACTTGTCAAGAACAGAAATTATTATAAAAATTCTTTGCAGTGCCTAAATTTACTCCCTGATAAATGGGTTGAAATTTGAATTGTTGTTGGTTGTGATAGTAACATATACACGATTCTCTTTAGCATATCTTCCTAGATGGCTTCAACTTTACAGATTTGTCATATAATTTCCAACATTATTCCTTCACATGATCAAGTTTTTTATAATGGTCGCACAATGGCCGGCCTTTTTTGAGCTTGTTAATTTGAGAGAAATTTCGAGCGGGCAAGGCTAATCCTTCAATAGTGTGGTGTGATTGTCTGTCATCACCAAATTCTTTCTGCTCTCCTCCCTTCAAACCTCTACAAAAGCCTCCCAAATGGTAAGAATGGATTTAATTCACATGATTCTTCTCCTGACTTCATCTAGGTCTTTATTAAGGCCAAGGATGAATTTGATGGCCATTTTTTTTAATAATCCTCTAAGACAAGGCAAATGCATCCGGGCATTTTCAAGAATAAACCTCATATATGTCCAACAATGGGCGAGACTGTTGAAATTTGAGTGACACTTAATTCTCCTAATCATACATCATGTAGTCTGGTTTAATGTCAAGTAATTCCACGTGTAGCCTCCTGTATCTCCTTGGCAGTCTTATATAGTAGGAAGTTTTTTCTAATCTCCGTGATCATAGAACTTATTAAGCATGACATAACCAAGTAGTTGTCAGTTTTTTAGGCCTGATATTTACAACTTATCATTTCTGGAGTGAAATAGCACATTTGAGATGTCCATCTTTCTCCTTGCCAAAGATGTATATGAAGACGGACTGTAACCATTCAATAAATTATGGCCATGTAGTTTATGGTTCATGACAAGGTGAGAAGATTTATTAGGTATGATAGGGACTGAAGATGTGGACTCGAATCTAGAAGTAACTTTCAAGGAAGAAGATTATAAGGCCATGCCGTATTTGAACATAATAAGATTGCGAAGTTTGAATCTAAAAGACCTAATGCGTGATCAAAAGCGAGAGAAAGACCATTAGTTCGATTGCTCGACTGATGAACAAATAAGACCTAGAGAATAGTGTGTAGCTCTTGGTTATCACAAGATCGACACGGGGTGAGAGGATTTCTAAGCCTGCAACTCGTGAAAGGGTGGCTAAGCCATAGCGAATAAATCTCAGAATTATTCTACCATATGTTCAAACGGACCATTCAAGCGAGGATTGCGACTAGTCCATACGAGAGGGAGGTGAAGTCAAACCAAGCATGCTTGAATAGAAGGTGAATGAGCTACGATCTATGATCTATTCGAACTAAAGGAATGAGGTTGCGACTTGCATCAAACTAAATGTTGAAGGAAAAAGCGATCGAGAGGTGAAGCCGACCTGAGCACAGAAGTCGCATGCGTGGACAAAGAATGACTGTCCGTCGCTAAGAATAATGAAGAAACAAGATGGTATAGTCGATTCCACAAAGAGGAAGAAACATCACGCTGCTTATAGGCGGAGCGAAACAATCGACGATGGTTATGCTTGGCAGAGACCGAGCAACAAGAGCGAATGAAGGAGGCTCTGCGATCTTCTCAGGTTTCTCAGGTTGGACAGGATGGCTTTAATACTATGTGAAATTTTGGGAAGATATTTTTTGCTTCTTTCTCTAACCTAATGCATTATAATTTATTGCATATATATATATATATAATATCGGTCCACGAAATAGAAAACTGGAATTCTTTAAATTAAGAATCCCAACAAATAGGAAAATAGAAAAAATATAAAATAAAGAAAATATCTAATAAAAGAAAACACAATTAATAAAATATATCATGAAGGAGGAAATTCCTCCTAATCAAATATGTGGATTGGCCCTTTCCTATATTCATCAATTAAGGACCATCTAAAACTTTTAAGTTTGGGCTTTTGTAAAAGCCTATATAGAGATATCTAGGAATGTCTCTCACATTTGAAATTTATTTGCTTTCTTTCTTATGTGCACATTAGTAAGAATAAGGAAAATAAGTTCGACTTATTACCTTATAGGATATGACATTATCAACTTAAGTAACAAATTTGGAATGCTTGCAACAATAAAATAATCAAATTAAAATATATATGTATAATTTACAAAGATTGATAGAGTGCCTTTAGCAAGCAAACAAGCTCCTACTTCCTTCACCATAGATATCAATCTCAACGCATCTATCTTTGACCTTATCCAAAGCTCGATGTGGGCTCCTCTCCCATCAACCTCATGAGTGGATGCATCCCATCCACCTGTCTATGAAAGCTTGCTCATTTTCCTCCACATCAACTTGCTGTCAAAGTCCTCCATTTCTTCTCTATTACCACATCCTCGTATGATTGGCAGTATCTGAACCTCTGTGGGTCTTCAGACACTCGGAGGATTAGCCTTCCAAGCCTTTTGAAATCTTCCAAATAACAAGAAAATCGAGAATCAGATTCCTCTTTCTCACCCAAAGTGTATTATTCAGAAGTATTGGACTTTTTCCATGCGGCTTAAATTTCGTTGTCTCCTGGAAGACCCAAAAATTTCTTATCATGTCCACTAGATTGCATTAGATGTGAGCGTCAGCACCTAATTAGTAAGGTTGGGCTTTCCCACCTCACTCTTCTCTATAGGTATCTTTTCTTTCCACCATTCTAACATCGCCATCATATATCCCTTAAGATGGTAATCCTATGATAAATTAAACAAACCCCAACCCACACATGCCGGCAATTAGCAAGTAAATTTGACACTCATTCGGTTTTGGAATATTTTTCTTACATGATGCTTCCTTTCCCAAAGCACAAAATAATAAAATTTTTTAATCATGTTTTATAACGATATAAGGGAGAACAATTTTTTTTTTCCCTTAAATTCCTAATCGGGTCAAGAAAATTACGCAGCACATTTCCTGATTATAGTCCTACAATATATACATACTGATGGAAGCTCGCAAAATTCTATGAGATTATATTTTCTTTTCAAGTATTAATTTCTTAGTTTTGATGCGGGATGAAGAGGTCAAATTATGGTTAATGGCGTCATATACAAGATAAACTACAAGTATTACCATCAAAGGTAACTCATAATTGACTGAGAGAAAAGTTCTAATCATGAAACAAAAAAACTTGATGTTAAAACAATCCAATAAGCATTTTCAAGGATAAAGTAATACATATTGTCAGATGGGCCAAGTGAGCCGTTGAAAACATGTCAATGCATAGCGAATGAATTTCATGTGTTTTATACCATTTTATATATGAAAGGCTAATTGTTATCTCCAGAATAATAGCAAATAAGTATATATTTTATGCCAACTATACAAAGACCAAAAGGCTAAGTTCCGTCTGTCCTCAGTATTAACAAGTTTATTTGCCCCCCTCAAAATCATTGTGGTTAACAAATCACAATCTAAAGAATGGCTGAAAGGGAACAATAGTATCACTTTCTGAATAAATATGCAAGAACCAAGAGAACTGCAGCAACATCAAATGAATAAAGCTAGCGAAGAAGGAATACTCACAGCGATGGAGCAGGCAATATAACCTGGTTTCTCTCTGTAATCTACTCCAACAAAAATGATGATGAAAGCTCCAACATACCAAGGAATAGCAGCCAGAAAAAATCCAATGATAAACCTTCGAGAGAAAATATTTTGAATACTAAATTCAGGCATCATTTGGAACTCAAAATAAACGACTCAAGATAGAAAAAAAATAAACAGGGGCATTTACATACGGTACTTGCATATATCCACTCAATTCATATGCATTTACATATCTAACACCTAAACATTATTTTTTACATTTATACCACTCAAATGTTTCACATCACATCAAAATAACCCCTTTTTAACTTATAAAAAGTTAACGGTAGCATATATATGTAAAAATTGAAGTATAGTTGTTAGATATGTAAATACATAAGAAATGAGTGGTATGTAATGTAAATCTTCCAAATAAATATGGTACCAGAGCACAAGGTAAGCAACTAATTATAATGTCAAAAAATATGCTAAGAAAACAGATATCATATAGCACTTGCAAAATTTATCTAAAAAAAATACTTACAAAAACCAGCCAAAGCCAAGGCCACAACAAGGAAGTCTTTCAATTTTTGAAGTCGTGATTTGAGCAGCATCACCTTAAAAAAAGGAATGGGAAATATACATGTTGAAAGTTCAAAAAATTTGACATCATATTAACAATTTGAACTTACATAAAAGCATGCAATGTATTCACAAATTCAGTTTGCAGATTGATCAAGCAGCAGGAGCTACAACAGCTAATTAGTACTAGTTTGATTACAAGTCTTAATAAATAACTACTATTTGTTAAACCTCCATGAAATGAAAGATTATGTGCATCAACGTTAAGTTGATTAGAATATTAGTGATGTTTACAGAGCAGATTCTAGTTACTCTTGCTAATAACACTTACTCCATATGAATATATATAGATTTTCTCTTTATGCTATATTGCATTACATTATCTTAGCTCTTGAGATTTGCTTTACAAGTTGAGATTAAATCGTGGTACCGGCTTTCAAACATGGGAGACACAACTGAGGGCGTGATAGTCCAACATGAACCCCAAAGTTAATGTGATTAGTTCTCCATCCCTTAATAGAGTAGAAGACCAAAAGACCCCCAATGAAGAATTATTCTGCTCTAACGTAGACCTTAGAGGCAACATTGCTCAATTTTTCCATGCAAGATTCGTGAAGATATTAAAAAACCTTCATCCGAGTTTTTCTAAAAGCCCCTAAGAGGGCAAGTGAAGGGACTCTTTCTTCTCTCATTTTGAGCTATAGCTCCTTTTAAGCTTTC